TAGCATTTCAAACACTTCTGAACACAGTTCTTTTAGGAATCATCACTATTTACTCAGGCCCTATGGTAGGCTGAGTGAGAAAATTGTAAGAAATTTGATACAACGAAAGTAAAGATACGTCCATGAAAAATTATCATCCCAACTCAAACAAGGGTTCCCACAATAATAAAATATTTATGTATAACATATAACCAATTTCATTAATTCTTACCAATGCTCTTTCTGCTTCTAATTAGAAATCCTCTGTTAATCTCCTAAATTTATTGATGACCTTTATATAGTTCACTGACCCCATTTAATAACATGTTCCATATGTTTATTATACATTGTGTGAAACAATTTTTTCCTTAGTTCTGACTGCTCTCAGTTCTATATAGTTTAAACTGCATACACGTAATAGTACAAAATTTTAAAAAAATGAGCAATTGATTCTGTAGCAAGAAAGCAAACACCTAGGAGAAAACCCATAGGAACCAAAAAGTTAAAACTCATGTCTTAATTTAGGGAGAAATTTATGAGTTCTAGCTTTAACTAATCATCCTACGGAAATGGCTACGTGAAATTCTAAATAAGAAAATCATACTACTCTCAAAGCTTAAATATATCACAGAAAATAATAATTTTACCTGAACACAAAGTATCATGTGAAATATTCAAAGATGCTTCTTCACACAGAGAATTACCTGGATTATCATGAGACTGTCTGATCATTTGGGAAGCTGAAAACAGAATTAAAACATTTCATTAGATATAACTTCAATATTTTTTAGTAGATGAAGCCAACAGTAAGTCCACCTATTAATAATAGGGGATTCTATTAAATCACAGAATCACAAAAGTCAGAAAGGATCTTAAAAAGTCAACTTCCTGAACCTAATCGGAAGCTTAACAAAGTTAAATCAACTTTTTTGGTCAGTCTTCCTGGTTGACAGTCCTGGCTCTTTCTTTAAGGATGATCGAAATAGTTACTTCTGTAACTAGAGCAATGGTTCTCACCCAGGGGTGATTTGGGCTCCCAGCATATAGGTGACAATGTCTGAAGACATTTCTGGACGTCACAAATGGGGGAGGAATGGAGGTGTATTACAGGCATACAATGGGGAAAAGCAGGGACGCTGCCCAACATCCTGGCATACATAGGATAGTGCCCACAACAAAGAATTATCCAGCCCAAAATGTCAATAGTGCTGAGGCTGAGAAACTAGAGTTTCATAGGAAACATCTAGAATATCAATGATTTAACAAATAAGGTCAAAAACATTTCCTTCAAAGGCTGTGCATACAATAGACAAGAAACAAAAGAAATGTCTGAGTCTCATATCCAAAGATATTTTTTAAAGAGACTTAAAAGGATACTTTTCTGAGGAAATCTAAGCAAGTAATTGTAAAAAGAAAAGAAATCTTACTTATCTTGGTTTATTCTGTAGCAAAAAAAGCCAATGCCTATGAGAGAACCCATAGAAACCAAAAGGGAAGTTTAACCTATGCCTTAATCTTATTATAATACCTAATTTCAGGGGGAAATTTATGAGTTCTAGTTACGGGTGAGAAAATTTTAAGAAATTCGATAGGTCTAAAATAAAGACATAACCATGAAAAATTATTACCCCAACTCAAATAAGGGGTTCCTACATTTAAAAAAATAGGTATGTCTGTTTATGAGCTGTAGTTATTTTATCACAAAGTTTTCAGGTTGAGTTTAAAACTGTGCTGGACGCAATGAAGTGGCAGAATTAACACTGCAAAGTAATGAAAAAACAGTTTAAGGCAAATTAATTTATATACGTAACTACAAGTTGAAACAATTTGGATGTCCATTTAGGACACAGCTAGTTACCTACCTCAACGTCCATTCTCAGCTTCCTCTAGAACAGAACTCTGATTTTACTAGCACAGGCATGTGCTCTAGTGAAGACTATACACTTCAGTCTTGCTTGCAACCAGGAGTGGCTATACGACCAAGTCCCAGCCAATGGATTAGGCAGGATATTGGATGGGACATGTGGTAAAGCTGTTAAAGGGAACTGGCTTGGCTGGGAGGCATACACATTTTGGAAGAAGAGCCAGGCACCCAGAAAGGCAACACAGAAAGATGGAAACCCAGGTTCTTAAAGACACTATGGAATGCCACCGAGCCCTGCCTGCCTACTTCTGGACTTGACATGACAGAGAAAGGTAATTCTACCTAAGTGAAGTCATTGGTTTGTGTGTTGCTTTGTGTGCTGCAGCCAAAACGAAGCTTAACTGATATAGATGCCCATTTTATAGCACATACAAATAAAAATCCAAGACAGACTAAATATCTAACTTTAAAAAAAGCTCTTACAAATCAGAAAGAAAAATTAGGTGGGATTCAAGATGAATTTTTCCTATTAGCTAAGTTTTTAAATATTTTATTAAACTGTATTCAATTACTTAAGTAACTAAAAATGTTACAGATGAAAGAAATAAGGAAAAATACAAATTGATTCATTACATGCAAATTCCTTTCAATGCCATCAGGACTTGTCAAAAAAATAAAATAAAATAAAGCAAATTCCTCTGAGAGAGACATGATTAATTAAACTTTTAAATATTTTATTAAACTGTATTCAATTACTTAAGTAACTAAAAATGTTAGAGATGAAAGAAATAAGGAAAAATACAAATTGATTCATTACATGCAAATTACTTTCAATGCCATCAGGACTTGTCAAAAAAATAAAATAAAATAAAGCAAATTCCTCTGAGAGAGACATGATTAATTAAACTTTTAAAAACAGAAAAGAAACTCCAAAGATAGAAATGACAAAGAGCTACAGTAAACAGGATTATAAGCTTGGAGAACACTATACACCCAATATAAGTTTCAAAAATCTTAATGATGCATAATATTTTTTGGAACAAAATATTAACAAAGTCTGCCCTGAAATAAGTCAAAATTTGTTAAAATCAGGAAACATTAAATAAAATATGTAGGTAAAGAAAAAAAATCTTTCCACCACAATTTATTCACCTATTTGCACAGTTTTCGTGTTACAAAATGTAATCACTTACAGGTAGGGGAAAGATTTTCCCTTTTCTCCTTCATCTCTTGTAATCTCTTCTCCATTGCACTGTCGTGACTAATTTTAATATTGCTTGTGGGACTATATGTCAATGAACCATCGGATTCAAATAAGAGAATAGGTACATCATAATCTGAAAATAAACAAAAATTCAACTTTAAGCTAAAAAAAATGCCTTCAAACTTCAACAACATGATTCCTTTCAAGGGACATCCACCCTCGACCCCCAAAGTTTTCTTCTTCTTTTTCAACATCATCACCCACTTCTACTAATATCCTACGCCCACCACCTCCTCGATCAGCGATGCTGTTACTACAGCTGCTGGCTAACGTTTTGTTGAGCAATGACCACTTGCCAGGAGTTGTGCTAAGCACACTAAGTGCATTATTTCATCTAACCGTCTCCCAACTAAACCCACACATTAGGTACCAGTATCCGCATTTAAAGACAAAGAAACTGAGACACAGAAGTGAAACAACTTTCCCAGAATCATACAACTAGTAAGAAGTTGTAAAGCCAGGACGTAATTTGGTTCCTAAATATGATTTTTACTCCAGATTTCGGAAACCATCCCCCCATTAGCCACTGTTTCCACCCTCAACATGTACTCACAGACCCATAGATGAACTTGACCACATGAAGAGGGGTCAGGGTGGTCCCTGAACCATGAAATTATGGGCTGGTTTTGTTTGAGTGCAGAGTTGTGCATTTTTCTGGCACATACCTTGACTATGCTCAAAAAGGACTTCAGGATTCTGACACCACCCCCAATAAGAAAATACCAAGATTCATTCAGTATCTTTTCTTTTGCAACTCTTAAGTCTAAATGACCCTTACTGTTGTTCTGACAATATACAGCTATACACTAGTTGGATCATTAATATCTCATATCTGTAGTTTTTAAAAGGCAATTTCTATTAAGATACATATTTGGTCTAAAAAGAGAAAATTTTGTATCTATCATTATCATTTTGTCAAATTCTTTCCAAATATACTATCACTGACACAGGAAAGAAGAACAAAGTGGCAAAAGTATCAAGAATTACATGAGAATGTGCAATATTCATTTGAGGCTCAAGGAAGAGCCCAGATGATACAGGTTCTAGTAGGTAGGACATGTTAAACACAGGATTTTATCCCAAATACTTTTCCTTAGGATGACACCAAGGAATTTTAAACCAGGGTTGGGGGTGTCCTTCTGACTTGAGATTTACATCATTCTGACTGAAGTATGGAGATGAGGTATAAGGGGACAGGGAGCAGAGAGCCAGGGTTGGGGGCTGTTACAGTGTACAGGAGGGATGGTGCAGGCTGGAACGAGGGTGCAGAAGGAGAAAACAGAAGGAGTCAAGCAATTATTCCAGAAGTAGGGTCATGGTCTTAATGGGTTTTAGTGTCAGAGTAGAAGGAGTCAAGGACAAAAGCATGTTTCTGGCTTGAGTAGTGAGGAAGACCAGACAGTTGTGTGGGTTTGTGAGGGAAGGACAAGCACACACCAAGAGAGGCAGCAGGAGGGCTGAGCATAAAAACAAATGACAAAGGCCATGGTTTTGGAACATTATGTGGCAGTACTGTATGGACTAAATGCTCTAAATTCTGTTGCATTATCATCACAGCATTAAAGTAAAGCTTGGTAATTCTATTTGAATAATTTCAAAATATAGAGTAGAGAATATGTAAGAATAATATAGACTAAATCAACAGAAAAAAAAAACTAGAGGAATTAATGCTTCCTATTTCTGAACTATGCATTATCTAGTTACTACAATTACTTATTTGTGGCAATGGTGTGTCACGATCTGTATGATATACTGAATTTAGAAGACAGTGAAAAAGGCAAACGAGAAATACCAAAAACATACAAAGTACTTTAAAAGTTTCATGATATTCTAAAGTATTTTTCTAAATCACTAAAAGAATATATCACCTAAGATTTGCCTATTCTGCCTAGGTAACAAAACAAAAAGACCAAGTATTAGGTAAAAATACAAAGTTATATATAAAGAAGAAAGAAACAGGAATTTATTTCAATGAGGCCTATTAGTCAAAGCTTGCTTTTCTTCTATAATCATTCCTAAGAGTAAAAAGTTCCATCAATTTGATGAACAATTAAGACTGTCTGGTTGATTAGCTCAACTGTATGCCTCTATTATGGCCCCTGGTAAAGTTTCCTGTAGGCTAATTACATTTTGTTTTCTCCTTCCTAGTCTAGAACTACTGCAGTCTTCATTAGCTATCTCACCCTGAATGCCACTGGTCATCACACAAGTTAAACAAGATGTATGAACACAGACGCAAAGAACTGTACTGCATTTCTGGGCTCACCTAGAGTTGTTTTTTGCCTTTGTAGCTCTTCAGCCATTTTCTCAAATTTCTTCTGAAATCTTTTATCATTTTCTGGTGTTTTAAAAATAAAATCTTTGGGCTGCATACACTTACGCTGTGCAAAAAGGATATAAAAATTAATAATACTGTATTACAATTGCTTAAGAGAGGAAAAAAGTTCTTTCATGTACATTTTTTACACCATTTATAATATCAATAATAAAAACTTCTTAAAAAGGTGTTTCTTGTACTATATGTGAATTGGCAATACTTATTTCTTTTTGTACAATTATAAAAAAATGGACAGAATTTAAAAAATTGAATGAAAGGCTCTATATTACATAACTATATTTTCTAAGTCATTTTCATGATCCTAGCATTCTTAGTTTCCAGGAAGGTTCTTTGCAAAACTAGTCTCTTTCCATTTTTTGCTATTCTCACATTGTCTTCCCCCTAAAATCACAACATGGTAATAAAACACAAAAACAATTACTATCTTATAATTACCAAAGAAAAGAACCATTACCTAATCTTGCCTTATTGTCTTTAGATGGTAGGAACTCCATTCAGCCAGTAAAACCCAAAAACTATAACTACACACACAAATACATGAAATCCCAGGCTGATTTCCTCAAGAAAGTTTTGGGTTAACTCTCTAGTCTTACCATCCTCAAACAGAGAGGGACGATTTCTCCTTTAAAGCGTATCTCACATTCCCTCTTTACCCACTTTCTCATCTTTGGAACTACCCATTTGTTTCCCACCTTTAGCCCAGCATCACCACAAATACAAAAACCAACCTTTTCATCAATTTTACCTACTACTACTTCTGTGCCTGAGCTCTTTCTTGAAGGACCCCAGAAAAATTTAAGTCTCTATCTAGGTCTCTTTTGTTTTGCGGGTTGAAGCTACCAGTGCAAATTTGCTTATCTGGATACCTAGCCTAACTTCTTTTGTTTCAGTCTTAAAACATACAATTTCTATCAGCCATTCAAGGCTAATGCCTATACTTGTGTTCTTGCTCGATCAGTTAGTTATTCACTCATTCATTACGAAAATGTCATTATGTGTCAGGCATTGGTCTTGCAACCTAGAAGGACCCTTGCCATCACAGACCTTGTATTCTGGCAAGGAATGACAGTAAATAAAATAAAATAAAACAAGTAAATTATATCATATGTGTGTTGGGAGGCTAATTTTAACAGGCTTGGAACTGGCCTGTACTGTTTTCCCTGAAGTACCTGCACAACATGAGAAGTACTAATTAACAGTGTTGCTTTGTAACCACAGGTCCAAGAAGTTTGGGGGAAGTTAGTACCATACCAGCTGATCAGAGTTCTTTATTATCAGTAAGATTAGGATTTGCCTGGAAGGCTCTGCCAGTGGGGCTGGGTCACATGGGCACAGGGCCAGCAGAAGACAAGAGGCTCCCCACGTGCACCCTGGTTCTACAGGGCTCTGTAGATCTGGAGGCATTGTTATTCTGGGGTCCTGTGAATCTTCTTTAGCAAGTGAACCCTGGTTGACTGTCCCCATTACTGCAGTGTCAGAGAGAGTAAGTGCTACAGATAACAAGGGACTTGCACACACAGCTGGCACAGGTGGAAAGGGATTGTTGGTGCAAATAGGGTGCCAGGGCTGGTCTCGCAGGGAAGGCCTCATCGGCACAACGCTGTAAGGAGGTTGGAAAGCCAGCCAAGGGGATGGATTTGGGGGAAGCATGTCCAGGCCGAGGGAATAGCTAACACAAGGCTCTAAAACAGACACATGTTTGGTATGCTTGAGGAGCAGCAAGCCAGCCAGGCTGGTGGCAGCACGGTGAGGTGGAAAGGGGCAGAGAACCTCCTCAAGGACCCAAAATAAGGCCTCAAGCCATGTTTACTTTGCAATTGCCTTTGGAAAAGAGAAGGAAAGGGAAGGTTTTTAGACATGAATAAAAATTAAAGTGGTGAAGGATATGAGTGGTCACTATTTATGGCTTTAGATTAGGAAAAATTAAAAAGATTAATAATATTCAGCAGTGGTCAGAGTGCCAAGAAATAGGTATTCTTGTACACTGTTGGTGGAACTGTTAAAATGCATATGCATTCTGACCCAGTAATTTCCTTTCTAGATATCCAACTTGGAGAAATAAACTCCAATATGCCGCCATGCTGCATAAGTAATACACTTAGCAAAAACTGACAGTGATCTAAAAGTGCATCAATACAGGACAGGCACACTCACACTGTATGATACAACACAGGAAAATGAGCAGAGTCACAGCTACTGACATGAAATGATCAAAACCATACTGCTAAAGTGGGGAAGAAAAAGCAACCCACCAAATGATATACATAAGGTAGCAGAGCCCCCATTCGTACATGTGCACAAAGCACATACGTGTGTGCACCATGCACCAAAGACATCCCATCCAGGATATTCGTCAGATTGAAAAGAGAGATGTCTCTTATCTGTCTAAATGCTTCACAATGAAAATACATATGGATTATGGATTGTTTTTATAATAAACGCTTTATTTTCACATGTCACAGAGAGTCAAGAGACTCTGCTGAACGCTCTTTTTCTCCTACAATCAGACGAGGTTGGGATAGAGATTGAAGGAGGCTCATTCATCCCTGCACTGGCAAACTCTGGCTTGTTGGAGATGAAATGTAATTGAGATACATCATTTACTACTTTTAGAAAATGTGCAGAAGTCCACAGCTATTCCTCCTTTACTCTACAGGAAATGTACGGTTCTCATCTAATCCAATTTGAAGAAGTCATCAAATCCTCCAGCAGAGATTCTTATGTGAAAACAAAGTGGCTTTGATGTTTCATAGTAAACTACCCTCAAATAAAGAAATCACAATTAAAACTCTGAAATAAATAGAAAACTGAAAAGGTTATAGTTCAAGTGTTAATCAGATCTCAAATGAAAGCACTGTCATTCACGCTACAGTTGGCCCTCCATATCTGAGAGTTCTGGACCTGCAGATTTCACCAACCGTGATTAAAAATACTCAAAGAAGAAAAAACAAAAAAACCCAACCAACCAAACCAAAAAAAACCCCCACAAATTAAACAGTACAGTATAACAACTATTTACACAGCATTTGTACTGATTAGGTACAAGTAATCTAGGGAGATTTAAAGCATACAGGAGGATGTACGTAGGGTACATGCAAACACCCACCCATTGCATAGGAGCATCCGTGGATTGTGGTATCCGCAGGGTGGTCCTGGGACCATTCCCCTGCAGACACTGAGGAACAACTCTATTTGCAAAGCAAATTTTCTGTAATAAATGACTTTGCACACTTGGATATATCTGCTTCAGACTTTTGAGATTCTCTAGCTAACAGAATGAAGGCATTTTACTACAGATATAACAAACTAAATTCTGAAGTAATCACCAATGCACCTGATTGTCTGATGGTCTCTCAAAGGTTTTTAGTTTTCCCATGGCCAGTCAGTCTCTTTCATTTCTTACAAATAACATGAAAGCATTCGTAGGATAAAATTACCTCTATAATTTGCTAAAAAATGCTATGTGAAAAAAACAATACCACCAACAGCACCCTTAAGGCAACTTTTGGATGTATTTCTAAAAATTAAAAAATAAGAATGAATAAATTCATAATTGCCGGTGTCTATGTTGAAATTGTTTACTTACTTTTTTTTTAATTAGACTTGGTAAGTGTTCATGAGAATTAGCTGCAGGGAATAATGATTCATCAACATGTACGCCAGCCGTCCTGCATCTGTACAATTAAAGCAGTCCAGTGAGTGTTTCCATGACATGTTCACACAGCATTAAATCTGCACATGTATCAGCTATTTAGTAAATTCATACATAGTTCATTTTAATACAGACACTTCTTTTAAAATAAGTACATGTAACACCAAATACAAAAGTCAACATAAATTAAATTTTTGGTCTTTATATGGCATTTTTTATGCAACAATTTTTGACTTATAGCATAGCACATTTCAAAATTACTGGTGCCTGGCACTCAGAAAGGTATAAGCAGATGCTATTAAATGTATAATTTAAGATTAAACAGGCCATAAAATGGATAATTTAGAGCTAGAAGTGACCTAAAGAAATTGAGGCCAGAGAGCCTATCTCTTCTTCAAAGTTGGGTTGTGCTTTTTATGTGTTTCTGTTAAGAAACTATCCTTAGCCCAGAGAGCTCAGTGTGTGTCCCAGCTCTGAACAGCCGTGCCTCCTTCTTCCACCCATCTGTGGCTACCCTTGCCATTTCTCCCTTCAATATACTGCTCACTCTTTGTATCTTTGGATTCCCTCCACCAAACTATCAAGTATTCTTTACAGTTAGCAGTTTTGGGAAAGGCTTGATTCAATTCAGTAAAATGTGGGCCTGACACAGGCGACACAGTTGTAGATGTGTTCTGTTCCATTGGAGAATAAGCTTCCCAACCATTTGTGCATCACTCTGATGTCTGCTCTAGCACGCTTAGTAAAATATTGACACTGCTAAATTAAAACCCACATTTACCAGGCACCCAATCAGAATCTAGTGAATAGGCAGAAAAAGTTTCTAATTAGATTTTGATTTTTCTTCAGAAATGTAAAATAACATTATCCCCCCACCTAGTGGTCAAGAAGAAAAGTGTTTCAAGAGACGTCTTTAATCACAGAGCCAACCTTTTGACCTTCATTTCCCAATTGCTGCTACTTCAGAGCCAATGGAAACCAAAGCAGCATCCTTCTCCTTGGGAAGCCCCTGTTCTGATAAACCTTCTCCCCAGGGAGCTGAATGACTCCAGCACTTCCTACCACAAGCCTGCTAGGTCCACTAGGGACCACAGACTCCCTTTCTACCCTTAGGAAAACCCCTTGACTTCACCTGCACCAATCCTGCAGCAGCTTTTCCTACTCTTCTGCCAAATTGCTCAGTGTTACCTACCACCTTATTCCCTAAACCCAATCAACAAGAAGCAAAACTGCATTAATCTCCATGTAGATGGTATTGTGCTAGCCACTAATGGAAAATAAAAAAGTGAACAACACCTTTTTGAAGGTCCCAGCCTGCAAACACACAATCTTAGTACGTATCTCCCTGTGGCACAAGGAAGAACACAGTAGTAAACTCAGAGAAGTCCAGATAAGGAAGGTCTGTGGTGCAGAGAGAGCAGACGAATCCAAACTGGGGTGTGAGCCTGCAGCACCTGCTGTGGTCCAGCACTGGAACCACCACCTGGCACAGGGAGGTTTAGGCACTACAGGAGGAAATGGGGCCCAGAGCTGGAGTAATCTGCCCAGGCCCAGGCGGCTGCACATCACAGCCCTACCGTGCTCCAGCCTGTCTAGCTCAGAGCCTGCATCTTTGCAATACACCGTGCTACTTTCTTGGAAGGCTGTCAGGGAAGAGAGACGATCTGAACCAGGCCTTCAGGAAAGGAAAGTTTAACGCCTGTATGCGAGGAAAGGGCACTGGAGGGAAGCATAACAGCAAATAACAAAAGAAGAGGACACCAGAGAAGCAATTTGTTTACAGCTACTAAATCATTCTGAAGCTCACCAGTCCGTGCTCTTTTTTCCTTATGTACACATTAGAAGCCCAATCAATACAGGCCCAGCCTACCTTTCCCAGGAGGGACCACATTATTATGTTCAGCCCTGTTCAATGATCTTCAAACTACAGGATGCTGGGGAGATGCAAAACCTCTCCAAAGGGTCACCAGACTGGGGTGGTTTTAAGTCAATACATTTCCTGGCAGCAAGTACTATAAAGCACTCCTCTCCAAAACCGAGCTAAGAACTGCAGGTCCCTGCAGGCCCTCGCTTCCCTCTACCCTCCCACTCGCTGACCCCCATAGGGTTCCTTCCCCACCAGCCCGGTCCTGCCGCAGGGCCTCTGGACTTGCCGTGGAAAGGCTGACAGGAGGACGAGTCCATGGTAGGAATAATCTATATTATTGGTTTGGTGATCCTCCTTTAAAAATGTGTCAGATTCTAATGAATTTGCCTTGCTCTATCATAAATATTTCTGTCAAGAGTGAGATAAGGGCAAGGAGGACATGCATGTGGTGGCCCAGGGCTAGGTGGTCAGGCTTGGTTAGGGGGCAGCAGAGCCCAAGCAGGGGGAGGGGTGAGGCACAGTGTAGGTGTCGGAGCCCAGGGAGGGCAAGACCCAATAATGTGCCAAATGGCTCACAGAACTCCGGAAGATGCTTTACTTACCATCACTGGTTTATTATTAATATAAAGGACACAACTCAGAACAGCCAAATGGAAGAGGTGCATAGGCAAGGTATGGCGGAAGGTTCACAGAGCCTTCATGCACACTCAGGGCATGTCACCCTCCCAGCCCCTTGATGCATTCACCAGCCTAGAACCTCTCGGGGGTTTTTATGGAGGCTGCATTGTAGAAGCATGACTGATTAAATGACTGGCCACTGGTGATTGGCTTAATCTCCAGAGTCTCTCCATTCCTGGAGATCAGGGGGTGGTGCTCAAAGTTGTAGCCCTTTGATCATGCCTAGGGCTGGTCACCAGCTTCCACCCTGATGTTACACAGAATGTTCAATCTAAAATGTCCTCAGTAGGACAAAAAATACTATTACCCAGGAAATTCCAAGGGACTTAGGAGCTGTGTGCCAGGAACCAAAAATATAATACATGCATACATACACACATACATGAAAAGTGTGATGAGGAATAGTTATTGACATAGTCTGAAAGAACCTCCCTGCAAGCATATGAAATGCACATTTGCTTTGCGGTGGAAGCCCGGCAGAGGCCATCGTGACCAAGGGATCAAAGTGCACCTCACCAGGACAGCACCCTGAGATCAAGCACTGCCTGAGAGGGTGCAGTAAGAAGAACCCACTATCACTTCCAGGGCATTTGTGCAGAAGAGGCAGAACCCCGTAACCTCATGGGGATATGTCAGACAGGCCCAGACTAAGGGATGTTACCCATCACTGACTGCTGATTTTCAACAGTATCAAAGTCACAGAAGCCAAAGAAAGACTGAGGAATGGCTCCAGAGTGAGAAAGACCGGATTATTGGAACTGCTGGTGAGACAGGGATGTGGTCCGAGGATTCTTTGGCAGGAAGGTATCCACAGTAGGTCCCTCACGTTGACAGCTGTGTTGTGGTTATGAAGGAAAATGTCCTTGTTTGCAGCAAGCACTAAATGCAGAGGGTGATAGGCTTCGGTCAGCAGCCTACTCTCAGACCGGTGAGGACAAAAGCCTGTTAACTGTATTTCCAACTTAGCTGTTGGCTCATGATTGTCTAAAAATTTAACTTTACAATAAACTTTCTTCGTAAACTAAAATCTCTTTCTTAAAGAGAACTTAGAAGTGAGAGTCAAGTTGACCTTTATTTCTTCTTTCTTCAAGATAAAAAAATTCTCCTGTCCACAGGGAATGTCAGAATTTTATCAGTGGCCTCTGTCTGCTCTTACAACATGGGATTCTAGTGACACCTAGTGACCTCGAGTAGTTAATGCCCACATTTTCAGTGGAAGGTATAAGCAATGGCCCTGGACAGGCAGTTAACAAAGGAAGAACAGACATTTGATATATAAAATAAAGGTCAGTTTGACTCTTTCTCCTCCTGTTGAAGAAAGTTAAACTCACTAAAAATCAGGGAAATGTAAATAAAAACTATTATTTTTCACTTACAAGTTAGGAAAGATTAAAAAGACTAATAACTCACGATTATGAGTAAAGGTATTGGAAAATAGGTGCTCTTTTATACTGCTAGGAAGAATGGAAACTGGTACACTCTTTCTATTAAATAGAAGGTGATCTGGCCAAACTCATCATAAATTTAAATGTGCAAATTCTTTTAACTCAAAAGTCCACTTCTGGAATTTAAACCTGTGGAAAGATTTATCATCTGGAAAAAAGTAATGTATAGGGAAGCTCATTGTCATACTATTTCTGATTGAGAAAAAAGGAAAAAAGAAATAAAAAAACTTCATGTTCATCAACAGAAGATTGGTATATATTTACGGGGTAGAATGTGATATCTTGATATAGTATACCATGTGGACTGATTATATCAAGCTAATTAACACATCCATCACTTCATATACTTATTTTTTGTAATGAGAACATTTAAAATCTATTCTTTTAGCAATTTTGAAATATACAATACATTATTATTAGCTTACATATACATCTTTTATATGCTTAGTAGAAAGTCTGAAACTGTATATTCCAAATTCCCAACTTAGGGGAAGGAAGGCAAGATAATAGGTAGATTAGGTGAGGCTTTTTCACTTTAAAAATATATACATGTTTAAATACAAATGCATTTAATTCAAAAGAAAGTTTATGTTTTCAAGATAGCAAAAGATCTAAAAATCAGTAATTAAGTACATGTAATAATTAAAATGTGACTGTATTACAACAAACAATATAATAAGAAAAGAATCTGTATTAAAAATGTTAAGAGATTATGTTTACTTTGAGGGAACTTAAAAGTTTGCCTCTGGAAAATAAAGTTACAAGTACTCTGGAGTCTGCCAGATCCCCAGAGGCTGGGTGGGGCATAAGCAGAGAAGGGGATGAAGAACAAGAGGGGAAAGGGCACTGGGGCCAGAGCAGCAAATAAGAGCAAGAAGCCAGAACTCTCAGGAGAGGGGACTCTGTGATGACTCCCGGCATTAGGACTAGTTGAGAGCCCCTGTTTAAGTACAGAAATGACTAATGGTCAGTTTTGCATTTTGGTTCCTGCTTCTCCATTTACTTCAAGCTCTCAGTAAAGGTCTACTGTTTTCTGTACCCTTCCCTCCACATTTCTAAACAACCTTTTAAATGTAGCTCTCAAGTCATGTCCCCCATGAAATTTTCTCTGATATCTCCAGGCCACTCAAGTAAATTTTTCTTTGGTCATTAATTTGTTAGCATATTTATTGAGCATCTACTATGAGCCAAAAATGTGTTAGATACTTACTAGAAACACAACCATGAACAAGACAGACATGCAGGTGCTCTCACAGAGCCTACATTATAATGGAAAGACCAAAATGTGTGATTAGACAAATAAAGCAGACAAATGAACAAAATAAGTTTTAATAGCAAAAACAGGAAATAAGTAGAGATAGAGAATAACAAAGAGGGCTCTACCTGTGGATTGGGGGACAGAGAAAGCACTTCTAAGAAGGTGACCTTGAAATGTGACATGTATGAAGCTGAGCACAAAACTGGGTTAAGAATCAGTGAAAAGGGCACGGAGTTTTTAAGAGGCACCAAAGGCAAAACTAAAGGCAGGAATGGAAAATGCAAACAAGGGCAGGGGAACAGTTGAGGGTGGAAGAAGAGACAGATCATGTAGTGCTCTGGACCAGGGATCAGTACCCTTTTCCTGTAAAAGGGCCAGATGATGAACATCTCAGGCTTTGTGGGCCATATGGTCTCTGCCACAACTATCCAATTCCACAGCTATAGCACAAAAGTAGCCACTGACAATACATCATCAGATGAGCATGGTTGTGTTCCAATAAAACTTTATTTGTGCATACTAACATTTCAATTTTATATAATTTAAATATGTCTTGAAATACTCTTCTTTTGATTTGTTTGAGGGGATAACCTTTTAAAATTGTAAAAACCATTCTTAGCTCAGGGGCCACTAAAGAAAAAAACAGGGTGGCAGGCTGGATTTGGTCTGGGGCCATAGTTTGCTATTTCCTGCTCTAGACGGCTTAATTCTAAGCCGTTTTATCTCAGCAAGGAGGATAAAACTGATTTATGTGTTAGAAGAGTTACATTTGCTAATAATGTACAGGAAACAAAATGAAAAGGAGACAGGCAGGAGGCTGCAACAGTAATGGAAGCAAGACATAGCTGTCTGGACCATGGGAGTAACAGCAGAAACAGACTGATCAGAGATCTATTCTAAGAATCAATAAGCCATTCTAATGGACTCCATAAGAAGATGAGGGGGAGGGAAGAATGACAGCTGCCTGATTATGAATCTTCCCCCATACCCTCCCCCCAAAACCACAAAATAATGTTCACAGCACCATTATTCACAATAGCCAAAAAGTGGAAATAAGCCATATGTCTATCAGTTGATGAATGCATAAACAAATTCTGTGGTACAGGTTAAGAGTCCCTTATCCAAAATGCTTGGGATCAGAAGTGTTCTAGATTTTGGATTTTTCAGATTTGGGGATATTTGCATATACATAATGAGATATCTTGGGGATGAGATCCAAGTGTAAACATAAAATTCATTTATGTTTCATACACACCTAATACACATGGCCTGATAGATATTTTTAATAATTGCGTGCATGAAACAAAGTTTGTGTTAAGTACTTAATGTGCAGAATTTTCTGCTTCTGGTGTCACATTGGCCCTCAAAAAGTTTCAGATTTTGGAGCATTTTGGATTTCAGATTTTTGGGTTAGGGATGCTCAACCTGTATATCTGTACAATGGAATATCATTCAGCCACACAAAGGAATGAGGTACTGATATATGCTACAACATGAACGAACTTTCAAAACATGCTAAGTGAAAAGAAGCTCAACATAAACAGCCACATATTACAGAATTCCCTTTTTGTGAAATGTCTAGAATAGGCAAATACATAGAGACAAAAAGTAGATTTGTGGTTGGCAGGGGCTGGGGGCACAAGTGATTGAGATGTGATCGCTGATGGGTACAGAGCTTCTTTTTGGGCTGATGAAAATGTTCTTGAATTAGATAGTGATGATGGCTGCACAACTCTGAATAGATATACTACAAACCATTGAATTGTACACCAAAAGGGTGAGTTTTGTGATATATGAATTTTGTCTCAATTTAAAAACAAAGAAATGTTAAACTGAATTATTCACAATTAAAAGGAAAAAATACGAAAGGAAACTCAACTCTTTAGGAATGAATCTGCTTCATAACATTCCTTATTGTTTCCTGAATACAGCAAGTGAATCCCTGCTTCAGGTCCTTCCTGCTCATTTTCCCTCCAGGCAGAGTTAGGTATTACATTATACCCATTTTTCAGCTGCAGAAACTGAGGGTAGAAGATATTAAATTACTTGCCCAAGTAAGAGGAGAAGCCAACTGTATCTGGCTCTGTGATATGCATAATGTATCTCCACACTTTACCAACACTAGATACTTGAGGGAAAAAGAAAGAAAGACTTACTTTTCAACCCAGAGCACTGAAACGAGCTTTACCCCTCTCTGCTGAGCTTTGTCCCAAGTGCTCTGGTATCCATCTTTGAACACAACATGAGTTACTTGTTTATTAAAAGTTTTTGAAACCTGCAGAGAAAAATGCAGAAAACAAAATGTACATTAGTATTCACTCACCATTTCTTAAGTACAATTGATGAAAAGGGATACTTTATTCAGTATTTGTCAAAATAAAAATGTCCAAAATTCCTACCCCAGCAAATTCTAATCTGCCACAGAGAAGTACTCTAAGGGATGCATAACACTGCTTAAAACCACATCTGTTCCAGTTAGAATGGTGCATCACACACATGATTTGGAAGCTTCAGAACAAAAGAAGGGGGTCTAATAAAACCCCTACACCTTGGGTTGAGAACCAAAGAGCTGCATTTAGGCAAGTTATAATGACCTTCACAGGCTGACAGTCTATTTTTAAATCATCTCCAATCCCAAATTGGATTAAGATAATCCTGGATTATGAGTGCTACAAATACCCTTTTTGAAGCAAATCTGAATCTTTTTTCAGTAAAGATAATACAATTCTAGGTCTCAAAGTATTTGTAAATAATTTTAAATACATGATGCTCAAATTTAAAAAAAGTGAACAAATAAAAAACAAGCATAGGAGAAGATGGAACAACAGGAACAAAAACCAGTGGATAAAACAAAAAATAAAAGCAGACCAAGACATTGCAATCTGCCAGATGAAGACTTCTTGTGGAATGCAGCTAACGCCCTGCTTAGAGAGAATGTGTGATCTAAAATGCACAAGTACACAGTAAGAAGGTTGAAAATCAGTGTACTCATCTCAAAAAGTTGGGAAAAGTATAGCAAATTAAAACCAAAGAAGGAGTTAGATAGTACTAAAGATGAGGCTAGAATTAATAAAGTGAAAAATGAATACAAAAAGAAGATCCAGAATGTCAAAAGTTGGTTCCCCAGAAAGACTAATTAATAAAACTCAGGTAAAAACAAGGTCAAGAAAAAAGAGAAAGGGCACAAATAATGAATGTCGGGAATGAAGGATCATCACTACAGATCTTGAAGACATTAAAAAGATTCAAACAGGACATTATAATAGCTTTCAAGCAATATATTTGAAAATATAGATGAAATGGATAAATTTCTTTAAGGAAACCCCCAACTTTCTAAAACCATTCGTAATAAATAGGAAATATGCATAATCCTACAATTACCAAATAAATTAAAACTAATTTAAAAAAAATTTTAATAATACCAATCTTATACAAACTCTTTCACAGGATTAAAAGAGAAACACTACTCTCCAACTTGTTTTATGAAGCCAGTAGATTATTAGTACTAAAACTATACACATAATGGCATTACATGAAAGGAAAATTACAAGCCAATCTCACCCTAGAGACATCTACAGAAAAAGCTAAACAAAATATTAGCAAATTGCATCAACCAATATATGAAAAGGATAATACATCACCACCACTTAAGTGTATTCCAGGACTGCAAGGTTGGTTAACATTTAAAAAAAATTGATGGTATTAACTGATCAACACATAAGTGCACATATAAGAATAATATCTATTGGATGTTGGGTAGGGGGGAGGAGAGAGGAGGGGACAGGTAGATGCATACACAAAGAGTGCAATGCGTACCATCCGAGGGATGGACACACTTGAAACTTGGACTTGGGGGGGGCCGCAAGGGCAACATACGTAACCTAAACATCTGTACCCCCATTATATGCTGAAATAAAAAAAAAAAAAGATTGAAACGCAGCTTCTGCACTTGCAAGTCATGTGACTATGGGCAAGTTACTTTGTCTTCTTGAGCCTCAGTTTCCTGATCTGTAGAATTGGAATAACAATGACTTCATAGGTTTAGTTGTGAGGATTAAATGGTATAATGTATGTAAAGTGTCTGATACATAGTAAATGCTCAATGAGTAGTGATAAAAAAAAATTGATCACTACTATTCATATTAACAACGTAAAAGAGAAAAATCACATGACCATCTCAATGCATGCAGAAAACACGTTTGATGAAATTAAAGTTTATTCATACAAAACCATATTAGGTAACACGCTAAAAGCTTTCCCTTGAGAAGAGGAACCAGAAATCTGATATCTCCATTTTATTTAACACTGGGCCTTGCCAGAACAGTACATCAAGAAAAACTGTCCTTATGTACACGATTCAATTGTGTATATTTTTTAAATCTCCCCAAAACTACAGAATTTATAAATGAGTTTGATAAGTTTTCAGGTGAACATGCAAAAAATTAACTGCATTCTATGTAATAGCAACAGTTAGAAAAAAATTAAAGATGCTATTTATATAATAGCATAAAAATGATCAGAGAAAATTATAAAACATTATTAAAAGAAGTTAAAGAAACCTAAATCAACAAAGGCACATATAGTTTTCATGGATTGGAAGATTTAATATCATAAAAACATCAGTTCTCTCCATACTGATCTATTTTATCAATACAATCCCAATCGAAATCTCAAAAAAGCTTCATGGTGTAAATTGATAAACTGATCCTAAATGAATCTGTAAAGGCAAAAGGCTAAGAACAGCTAAGACACCTTGAAGAACAAAATGTAAGACTTACGAAAATTTGCCATAAAGTGTAATTAAGACAGGGTGGTTTTGTCTTGAGAACAGAAGAACAGATCAATGAACAGAGACAGAGCCCTTAAACAGACTGGACATACGTGGAAGCCAGATTTATGACAAAGGCAGTACTGCAAACCTTGATTAAACGACAGCCTTTTCAATAAATGCTGTGAAAACAAAAGTTCACAAGGAAAAAAATGAAACAACTATTTCACAATATATACAAAAATCAATTCCTCGTGTACTATAAATCTACATATGAAAGGCAAAAGGATAAAGCTTCCAGAAGATAACATGGGAGAAAATCTTCATACCTTGGCACGGGAACAGATTTTTTTAAATAAGACATACAAAAAAGTTCACCATAAAGGAAAAATAAATAAATTGAACTACATTAAAATTATCAAAAGATACCATTAAGAAGATGAAAGCCAAGCCACAGAGTGACAGAAATACTGCAATTCACATGGCCGACAAAGGAGACAATTCTAAAAATATAGGGAATATTTACAAATCAAGAAGGAAAACATAAAACCAATAGAAATATGAGCTGGAGGTTTTTATAGGCACTTCAAAATAACTATATGACAAAGTACAGAAAAATGCAAATTCAAATCACAATGAGATAAAAACATACCAGAATGGCTAAAACATTACACAACCAAGCATATATAGCAATGGGAAATTTCATACTTTAGCATACGTATAAACTGATTCAACCACTTTAGAAGACTGTTAAGAAATCATTGTTAATTTTCTTAGATGTTATAATAGTATTTTTGTTATATAGGAAAATGTCTGTTTTTAGATGATACATATGAGTATTCAGGGGCAAATTAAGATGTCTGCAACTTACTTTCAAATAGTTCACATATAAAATACAATGTATAGAGAAACAGCAACAAAGAATGTCAACATGTTTACAACTGTTCAATCTATGATCACTGTACTATTCTTTCAATTTTCTGTTTGAAAATTTTTGAAATAAAAGGTGAAAAACAGAAAGATCCAAGAGATCTAAGATCTTAATATGACCCTCAAAAACCATTTGTCTAATGGCTTTTTTCTAAGCCACAATAATTTGTCTTCATCCCAAGTAAACTTTAGGCATCATAAGATGGAAACTCTTTCATGTTTCTACATTCCAGCGTTATCAAAATGGGTGTGTCTCCTCATGGGCAAAAGTAGGCCCTACTGATATTCTGTTCCTTTCCACTCCAGTCTGTTCTTAGGCTTTGATCTCTCACTCAGAGCAGGGACTAGGGAGACCAAACAAGGCACCCACTCTTTGCTTGGGGGGGAGTGCCTCTTTAATTTATGCCCTTGGCGCCTCTCTGTAATCCCAGCCCTACCTTTAATTCTCTTCTCACCCATTTTAATTTATCCCTTTCACTAAGTCTTTCAGCCAGCCTCTCCCACATGCCAAAAAACACACAAATACAGTAGTGCCTCCTTATCCATGGGGGATAAGTTCCAAGACCCCCAGTGGATGCCTGAAACTGCAGATAGTACCAAACATCAAACATACTATTTTTTCCTATACATACAAAACTATGATAAAGTTTAATTTATAAATCAGGCATAGCAAGAGATTAACAACAATAACTAATAATAAAAGACAATTATAACAATATACTGTAATAAAATTATCATGCAAAACTAGCATGAATTTCTTTTTTCTTTTTCACAATTTCACGGACAGAAGATTCATTCTCCTAGCAACCTCAGCATGCAGGTTTTTTTCTTTACCTTATTGGGAACTGCCACCTTTTCACTTAGAAGCAGCACTTTGTGACAGTAAATGCGATAATCTAAATCAGCAGTCCCCAGACTTTTTGGCACCAGGGACCGGCTTCATGGAAGACAATTTTTCCACAGTTGTGGGGGTAGATGGAACTCAGGTGGTGATGCAGGTGATGGAAGGAACAGCTGTAAATGCAGATGAAGCTTTGCTGGCCCACTCCTCACCGCTCACCTCCTGCTGTTGGCCCCCAACAAAGACAATTTTTCCACAGCAGATTTGGGGGGGAGGCAGCAGAGCTTTGTGGCCCTGTCCCTAATAGACTGCGTACTGGGGGTTGGGGATCACAGATCTAGATGGCTCCTAAGAAACCTCGAATAAGGAGGGACTATCTCCATTTCCTTGTATCTCAATGATTCCTGGACTAATTTGGATACCTTTACCTATTTCACTGAAAACTATGCTAAGTTCAACAAATGACCTTGTGGTTTTGAAATCTAAAGTACGCTTGCCACGCTTATCTCTCTTGAAGACTGCAGTGTTTCAAAATTCTGTCTTTGAAATACTTCCCTCCTTTGACTTGCACATTTGCCTTCCTCATTCTCCTGGTATCCTTCTCTCTCTCTGTCTCTCTCTCTGTCCTTAGGTCTCTGCTCCCATCGCTTGTATATTTGGATATACGACAGGTATTTTTAATATGGCCAGATTTATAACCTTTCCCTTAGAAACCTGTTCCTTTTCCTGTATTCCTCACTTTGATTACCAGCACCATGTACCAATGTTAGAATCCGGATTTTCATCCTAGATTCCTCCTCCTCACTCAGCGCTTACAAGCCGAACTGCTCTGTAAGTCCTACTGTTCTAAATTCTTCATATTTTGGGTCTTTTCTTTTTTCTCCCACCACTTACCCATCGCTTTGTCCTTCATATTCTAAGCAATAACTCCCCAAACAAGAAAATGCAAATGTATCTTTTTACCTATCAGAAGACTGTCATATGTAACAATGGTAAAACGAATTTCTTACCTTTGCCCCCATATCCACAAGTTGGTTTGTAAATGTCTTTGAGTAATTTTCTGTTCCATTGGATGACCACACTTCAACATAGGCCACGACATCTGAAAACAAGATATCAACATGAAATATAGATTTGTACTTCTAGCATCCACTGCCCAATAAATTTTTCTCTTGTTCTATTTATATTAAAAAGCAAATTCAAAATTTCTTCTATTAAAAGTCAATTCAAAAGAGCATCAGTACAATTTATGGTTCTTAAAATTTTAAGCAAAGAACTTTACTCATCCATGTCACAGTTCACATTCCTAACACCTCACGCTCTTCCCAAATTCCTAAACTAGGCTTAATTTTTCTAGTGCAGAAGTCTGTTTGCCGTAAAGGGACAGTAAACATTTAGACTTTGCAGGCTGTACACTACCTGTGACAACTACTCAACTTCATGGTCACAGTACAAAAGTAGCCACAGGCAATACGATAACGAGCCAATTTGTGTTCCAATAAAACTTTATTCATAGACAAGGAACTCTGAAGTTGACAGAATTTTCACTTGTCACTCTCCTTTTGAACCACTTAAAAATGTAAAAAACACTCTTGGCTTGCAGGCCCTACAGAAACAGGCAACAGGCCAGATTCGGCCTGGGGGAGGAGGGTATGGTTCGCGGACCCCTGTTCTAGTGGGTATCTTCTTCTCAAAACCTGACGTTTTAAAAGAATTTTCCAGATGTGCCATTGGTAAAGAATTGTGAGCAAAGCTACAGGAAAGCCGGGTTAATTTAACAAAATACCGACGTTAGAAATACAGCCACATCTGATTACAGAAGCTCGGCTATGAGGCTGTACCCCGTCCAGGCCCCTCAGTACAGACCCCTTTTCTCCAGCGCCAAACTCCACAAGGCTATCCCCATCCCCCTCAGCTCTCCCGGGTGCAGTGACAGGACTGGGAGCAGTGTCACTCGCAGGTTAGGACGGCAGCTCAGGCGCTAAAATCCCGCCTGCACTGACCAGCCACGTGACGGGGGAGAAGCACCTGAACTCTCCGTGCCTTAGTTTCCCCGCCGTGAAATGAGGTCACAGAGTTGCTGGGCCACTGGAAATCAGACAATACCACGCAAGCGTCAGCGCAGTGCCCGGGACACAACTCCTCGCTGAAAGGCCGCCCCCGTTGTTGTAACAACAAGCACAGACACAGGGGAGAAGCGTTGGTGTTTCTTTTCCTAATCCCACAGCTGCCGCGCGCGCCCATTCAAAGCCGTGAGGACCTGGAGGACGGCTGAGAACCGACCCAGCCTGTGGCCCCGCGTTTTTTTCTCCGAGGTTCCCCCACGTACCGGACCCCCAGCCTCACCGCGTCCAGGGGGGGCCCTGGACTAGACTCGGGGACGACCCCAGACCCCGACTTCCGGGAGGGCGGGCTGCCCCGCGAGCCCCGCGGGTCCGCTCCCCCGGCGTGCTGGGGCCTGAGGCGCGGGGGGCGGCAGGATGGGGCTCGGTGAGGAGGGGTCGGCAGGGGGCTGCTCCCACCAGCTCCCCCGAGTGCGCCCGCCACCAGCGGTGCGGTCCTCAAACCCACCCCCTGCCGGCGCAGGGCGACTCTGCGCGCCCAGAGAGCAGGAAGTCCCCTCACCTTTCAGGACGGAGTCCCCACAGGGTCTGGGGGCCGCCATAACGGGCGGTGGGGTCGGGACCGGGCGGGAACGCGCGCAGCCGGCCGAACCTGGCGGAGAGGCGGGCACTGGGCATGCGCGGAGCGAGCGCGCGCTGCGCGGCTCCGGGTTCTGAGGAGATCCGTGCGTCCGCGCTTTCCAGTCAGCCGCGGGGCGGAGCAGGGAGCCCAGGCCGCGCCCGGCGGGAGGAGGCCGAGAAGGAGGAGGCGGAGAAGGAGGAGGGCTCTCCCGCGGGCCGGACCGCGGGTCCTCCTGTCCTCCTGGGAGTTGGAGGACGGATGTCCCACAAAATCTGAGGTAACCGTCTGTTTCCATCAGGTGACTCAAGCTTACCAGCGCCTCACCTGGGCTCACCTCAGAGCGGAGGGTCAGGGGAGGGGCCCCCTCAGAGAAACTGCCTCAGAATGTCGGCGCTCTGAAGTCACCCCGCGGCTCCTGGCCGGTGATGTTTCGGCCCGCGCACCTGTGGTCCGCGCGGGGTTGCCGCCGCGGGCGACCCCCGGGCCTGCCTGCTGGGCGCGCGGGGACGCGGGACCAGGCCAGCGCCCTGGTGGCCCCGACCGCCGACCCCGGGGGGACCGAGACCTCAGACCCACGACGGGGCCCCAGACCGCCCACCCCCAGGGGATACCCCGCGGGCCGGCGGCCCCCGGGGCCGTGCAGCCCACAGACTCCGAGCCGAGGAGAGCTGCCCGGAGCGGCCCTGCCCGCCCGCCGCCCGCCGCCGCGCTGGGGTCTTCACACCTGGCGCCCGCGGTCCCCGGCGACCCCCGCCCGGCCTGGGTCTCCGCCCGCCCTGGAGGCTGCGGACCGAGGCGGGGGCGCCCGAGCTCGCCCGGGCGGGACGCTTGGGGCAGGCGAGGTCTTGCTCACCTGTTCCTGAAAGTTCTCTGACTAATCTCCCTGCAACACAGGCCAGTTAAAGGACCTTGTTTAGTGAAAATTGAACCAACTGTGTAGAAACTTTCTCTACCTGCGAGTTCAATACCATTTTGTGTTCCACCGAGGAGAACATATTCCATTCCCAAAGTTAACGAACAACACAGTCCTAAAAGTTAAAGGGACTCGCTTATAATGTAATGGTTAGTAGTAGAGGCTGCGTTTTGGAATCAGACTGGGTTCTGGTTTGAAAGCTTGTATCAGCCACTAACAAGCTGTGAGATATTGGTGAGTTCCTAAACTCTCCAAGCTGCTTTTTCTGAAACACGAAGTGTCTCTGTCCAGCCATGCCAGTTCTCAGGGGAATTTGTCTTTTTGTTTTTTAACAGTTTTATTGAGATATAATTCACATATCATACAATTCACCCTTTTAAAATGTACAATCCAAAATAAAAGAAAATGTGCAGCCTAGTGTTTTGTAGTATAGTCATTGAGCTGTGCAACCATCACCATAATCAATTTTAGAACATTTTCATCATTCCATAAAGACACCCCATAACCATTAGTAGTCATTCCCCATTTCTCTCCCCACCCCTCTCCTATCCTCCCTCCTATCACCCCCTGCCCCAGGGAATCACTTGTCTAGTTCCTGTTTCTATATGCTTGCCTATTCTGGGCAAGTTTTTTTTTTTTTGCTACTATCTAACAATGATTGGGTAAGCTTTGATCTTCATCTCCCTATCCCCCCTCCTTCCTATCCCTGAAAACCTCTGGTAACCACCACTCCATTGTTGACTTATGTGAGATCAGCTTTTTTAGATTCCACATACGGGTGAGATCATGCTGTATTTGTCTTTCTGTGCCTGGCTTATTTCACTTAACGTTCTCTAGGTTCATCCGTGTTACCACAAATGAAAGGATTTCGTTCTTTTCTATGGCTGAGTAGTATTCCATTGTGTATATATACACCACATTTTCCTTATCCACTCATCCATGGATGGGCACTTAGGTGGATACCATGTCTTGGCTATTGTGAATAATGCTGCAATAAACTTGAGAGTGCAGATGTCTTTTTGACATAATTGATTTTAGGTCCTTTGCATATATACCTGGAAGTAGGACTGATGGATCACATGGTAGTTCTATTTTTAATATTTTGAGGAACCTCCATACTGTTTCCCGTGGTGGCTGTACTAATTTACATACCAACAGTGTGTAAGAGTTTCCATTTCTCCAGGTCCTTGCCAGCACTTATCTTTTGTATTTTTGATGATAGTTATTCTAACAGGTGTGAGGTGATATCTCATTGTGGTTTTGATATACATTTTCTTTGTTTTTTTTTTTTTTTGAGACAGAGTCTCACTCTGTTGCCCGGGCTAGAGTGAATGCCGTGGCGTCAGCCTAGCTCACAGCAACCTCAAACTCCTGGGCTAAAGTGATCCTTCTGCCTCAGCGGGATTACAGGCATGCGCCACCATGCCCGGCTAATTTTTTTTCTATATCTTTTTAGTTGTGTGATTAATTTCTTTCTATTTTTAGTAGAGACGGGGTCTCGCTCTTGCTCAGACTGGTTTCGAACTCTTGAGCTCAAATAATCTGCCCGCCTCGGCCTCCCAGAGTGCTAGGATTACAGACGTGATCCACCGCGCCCGGCCGATATACATTTTCTTAATGATTAGTGATACTGAACATTTTTTCATGTACCTGTTGGCTATTTGTGTGTCTTCTTTTAAGAAGAGTCTATTCAGGCCTTTTACCCTTTTTTAAAAATAGGGTTATTTGTTATTTTTTTTTTTTTTGCTATGAGTTGAGTTCCTTATATACTTTGAGTATTGACCTCTTGTTAGGTGTATAGTTTTCAAATATTTTCACCCATTCTGAGGGTTGCCTCTTAACTGTGCTGATTTTTTCTTTTGTTGTGCAGTAGTTTTTTAGTTTGACATAACCCTGTTTGTCTAATTTTCTTTTTGTTTTCCATGCTTTTGAGGTCATATCCAAAAAAATCGTTGCCCTTACCCATGTCCTGAAGTGTTTCCCCCTATATCCCTATATTTTATTCTAGTAGTTTCATAGTGTTGGTTTTTATGTTTAGGTCTTTAATCCATTTTTAGTTGATTTTTGTATATGGTGAAAGACAAGGGTCTAATTTCTTTCTTCTGGATGTGGACATCCAGTTTGCCCAATACCATTTATTGAAAAGACTGTCCTTTCCCCAGTGCCTGTTCTTAGCAACTTTGTCAAATATCAATTGGCTGTAAATGCATAGATTTATTTCTGAACTCTTGCTTATGTCTCCCAGGCTGGAGTGCAGTGGTGCAATCATAGATCACAGCAGCCTCAAACTCCTGGGCTCAAGCTGTCTTCCTGCCTTAAAATCCTGTGCTCAGCCTCTTGAGTAGCTGAAACTACAGGCATTTGCCACCACACCCACCTAATTCATTTCTATTTACAAAAGTATAACCTACTAAATTGTTATGAGTTTCAGATAGCTTAAGAGAAAAGAGTTCCTTATATGCAGAAAATAGAACATTAAAGAACCAGTAATGTTCCAATCAAAGGCCATAAAAATTATTTTTTATCACTCTCCTCAGTCCTATGTAATTAATTTTGGTTTTGCTTAATCTTGGATTAGCAGTTTCATGAATCTATCAGCTTTTCAACCAGAGTTCTGGAAATCCTTACTCAGTGCAGTGGTATGATTTTAAAGTTATTTAAGCCAATGTCATCAGAAGCCTGTTCCCCAGAGTACCTGTCATAGGCCTTTCCATGGATCTCAGAGACACAATCCTTTTTGTTGAAGATGATGCATTCTGGCTAGTAGCTAACTGCAAGAGCTTTCAGGAAAGCATCAAACTAAAATAAAAACTATGTGAATGACAAAAGGCTTAAAATCACCACGGTAAAGATCTGATGAGAGTTCATTATAACACAACTAGCAAGGAAATTCAGTTGTTTCTGTGGCATACAACATTTAAAATAATAACTGGAATTATGACTGATAACGTCATACCAGGGCATATCATGGATAATGAGGACACTGACAAATTTCTAGGAACTTCATACAATTTCTGAAACAATAACATTTTACCCATGGACATATTACCTAAGGAAGGTTAAGTATCTTTTCTTATTTGACAGTGCTTCCCATGCAATTTAACATATCAGATAAACCTAATTAGTTTGACAGCTCTCTTTTTACAAGGTGAAAGAACAAATATTTTGAGATTTTCTAGGGGCCCTGTGGGAAATCTCAAAGTCAGTTCAAAGTAAAGAAGACTTCATTTAGAATTTGATTTTGGGAAGTTGTCAAAAATGTCAAAATCTTTGAACACTTAATTAAATAGGATCACAGTGACCTGTGAAACAATACTTAGTTATTCATTTAACCAAAGGGACAATATAAGATTTTTAAAACAAACATAAGAGATTCTATGATTGTTAAAAAATAGTTTTTTTTAGTAAGTGAGAAGATTCAGTTCTCTTAAATAATCAAAGGCGTCATAAAGAACCAGAAATTATTTTGATAAGACACAGATTATTTCCTAGGTGATGCTAAAGAAAAATGATTCTGATGCTTGTTAAAATGGGGAGGAAGATGTTATTGAAGACTTTTGTGATAAGGGAGAGAGATTGGGCTCAACTCTGCATACAGTGAGGACAGCTGGGATTTATGGCCATTGAGCAGAGTGAGGGGGTCAGGGGATTGAAATTACTAAAAGGAGACATCAAGGGTTGGGAGATTCTTGCTAAACCAACTGCTATGGTCTGAATGTTGGTGTCCTTATAAAATTCATATGTTAAAACCTAACCTCCAACATAATAGTACTGAGAGGTAGGGCTCTTGGGAAGTGATTAAGTAATGAGGGCTCTACCCTAATGAATGGACTCATGCTCTTATAAAAGAGGTTAAAGGTATTTTCCTTGCCCCTTCTGCCAGGTGGGAACACAGTGTTCACTCCTTCTCCCATGTGAGGATACGTAGAAGGTGCCATCTATGAGGAACAGGTCCTCACTAGACACTGAATCTGCTGGTGCCTTCATCTGGGACTTCTAGCCTCCAGAACTGTAAGCAAAAAATTTCTGTTGTTTATAAATTTCATAATATAAGATATTTTGTTATA